AACCCAAGTTCTCACAACATTCTGGTTCCCAACAACCAAAATTCGCAATTTCAAAAAGCATACCTCCGGGGAACGACCCAGACCCCGGACTCGCATTTTTATACAACAACCACTCCCTCTGACATTGGAGGTACCTCCGGGGGCACGACACAGACCTGAAGATATTCCACGGAATTCAGACTCCCTTGAGCCTAACCCGAGGAATATCTCCGGGGGCACGACCTCTGGCCACAATAACACTCAGGAACCTGAGCCCGAACAGGAACCTCCGTTGTCTCTTCATGAAAAAATCCTAGGAAGAGAAGACTGGAGAATACCAATTATGCAGTATATCTCGGAGGGTAAGGTCCCCCCCCCCCCCCAAAATGGGAAGCTCGGAAACTCAAAGCGTCAAGCACAAAATACTGTATAATGGAATCCACCCTTTATAAACGAAGCGTCTCGGGACCTTACCTAAGATGCATCCATGGCCTCGATGCTATCAGACTCATGAAGGAAATGCATGAGGGCACTTGTGGAAACCACGGTGATGGCAGAGCCTTAGCTATCCGAATCAAAAGACATGGCTATTTCTGGCCTACCATTATCGCTGATTGTGAGGTCTACTCATCTTCATGCGAAAAACGCCAAAGGCATGCACCAATTAGACATCAGCCTACGGAAAAACTATCCTCGATATCCGCCTCATACCCGTTCATGAGATGGTCCATGGATATCATAGGACCGTAAAATCAAGAAGAGGAAAGCAAAAACTACGCTTCCTTTTAGTCCTAACAGACTACTTCACCAAATGGATAGAAGCTGAAGCTCTCCAGCGGGTAACTAAAGTCGAAACCGAACGATTCGTATGGAGAGACAACATCTGCCGTCACGGCGTCCCATACAAAATCGCAACCAATAACGGGTCACAATTCATATCTAAGGACTTCAAAGCATTTTTCGACAAGTGAAAAATTCGTCTCACTATGTCGACACCCTGATACCCTCAGAGAAACAGTCAGGCGGAGGCTGCTAACAAGTCGATATTAGCAAACCTCAAGAAACGTCTTGGAATCAGTAAAAGTTCTTGGTTTGAAAGACTACCTGAGGTTTTTTGGGCATGCCGAACTACCCCACGAAAGGCTACGGAAGAAACTTCTTTCTCCTTAGCCTACGAGATGGAGGCTGTCGTCCCAGCCGAAACCATCGTCGGGAGCTTCCGCCGGGAACTCTGTACATTTAACCCCAAAACCAATGATCAGCTCCTATTAGATAACCTCGACTTAATCGAGGAACGGCGAAACCAAACCTTGCTTCGCATTCAAAACTACCAACAAGCAATGGCCCGACATTACAACTCAAAAGTCAGGTCTCGACAATTCGTTGCAGGAGACTTAGTACTTAGAAAAGTTTTCAATCATACCAAAGAGCCGCGCGCTGGGAAACTAGGAACCAACTGGGAAGGTCCCTATCGGATCATCCACATAGTACGACCTGGCGTTTACAGGCTCTTGAAGGTACGAACCTGGGTACCTGAAATCCGATCATGGAACGCCATGAATCTCAAGAGATACTATTATTAGGTACCTAAAATCCCTGAACTACGTTAGGCTTGATCCCTTGACTGGGTACGTAGGCAACTCTGTCATGAGTGCAGTCCCAACCTCATTTCAGCATTCTTTTCACCATAGCCAAAGGGGGCATATGTTTAAAAACACATAGCCCAGACAGCAACTGTATGATTGCTACAACGCGTTGTATTCTATAAAAGTTATCAATGAAGTGATTACATGTAGACATTTTGAGTTTCCTTTGAACAATCCAGGTCCCTACGAACCTGGACCTAAGGTCTTAAAATCCTTCAAACAAATCCAGGTCCCTGCGCACCTGGACCTGAGGTCTTAAAATCCCTCAAACGAATTCAGGTCCCTACGAACCTGAGCCTAAGGACTTAAAATCCTTAGTACATTCAGAAGTCTTGAAAACTTACGAATGAACCCAGATTTACGTGAATTTACCCTTAATGGCCTTAAAAGCTCTTTGGAAAGAATTTAGATCCCTTAAGATCTTAATCTAATCTCGAAGATCCAGGAACTCATTCCTAAAAATCTCACGACCAATCACAATTGAAATCACTGTTACCTCTAAGGTCACAAGGTCAGCTATTAACAAGATCCACGATCTAATTCCGGAAAGATCACATGAATCCCACACTTAAAACGTTACAATACATGACTCGAGTTTACACTTCGAAGTCAAACAAATCCAGGTCCCTACGAACCTGGACCTAAGGTCTTAAAATCCTTCAAACAAATCTAGGTCCCTACGAACCTGGACCTAAGGTCTTAAAATCCTTCAAACGAATCCAGGTCCCTACGAACCTGGACCTAAGGTCTTAAAAGCCTTCAAACTAATTCAGGTCTCCGTGAACCTGAACCTAAGGTCTTAAAATCCTTCGAACGAATTCAGGTCTCCGTGAACCTGAACCTAAGTTCTTAAAATCCTTCAGACTAATTCGGGTTTCCACAAACCTAAACCTAAGGTCTTAAAATCCTTAGTAACCTCAAAGGTCTTAAAATCCTTTAAACAAGCTAATTCAGGTTTCCACAAACCTAAACCTAAGGTCTTAAAATCTTTAGTAACCTCAAGGTCTTAAAATCCTTCGAAAACAATTCCAGGTTCCCAAAGAACCTCATTCTAAGGTCTTAAAACCCTTAACAAAACTCAAGGTCTTAAAATCCTTCGAAAACAATTCGAGGTTCCCAAAGAACCTCATTCTAAGGTCTTAAAACCCTTAACAAAATTCAAGGTCTTAAAATCCTTTGAAAACAAATCCAGGTTCCCAAAGAACCTTAATCTAAGGTCTTAAAACCTTAACAAAACTCAAGGTCTTAAAATCCTTCAACAAAAAAAAAAAAAAAAAAATTCAGGTTCCCAAAAACCTCAACCTAAGGTCGCGAAACCCTTAGCAGCGTTCGAGATCTAAAAGAGATCGCAAGTAAATTCAGGTCCCAGAAACCCATTCTCGGGACCTCTCGCTAAAAGGATATGGGACCTGTTATCAACAGGCTCCCCGACCTTCACCCAAAAATTTCCTAGACCTCATGTCTAACGACTAGGGACCTGTTACTAACAGGACCCAGACTCCTTCGTTCAAGGAAGTAAATACTTCTACTTAGATGATCGAGTCCGTATTAAGGAATTCATCAAAACATCGACGAAACCCTTAGCGAAAAAGTTTGATCCCAGTCAAGATCAAATTAAAATCTTTATAAGTCGAAGGTAGAATAAAACGAAACAAGAATTTAAAAGCCTCCACAGGCTACTTAAGTTCGAAGATCTTAACAAAGCAAAGGTTTAAAGGCCTCCTCAGGCCACAAGTCTTAACAAAGATAAAAAGAAAGCCCATTGGGCAGAAGTCTTGGGAACACGAAGACATAATCGCTATCTCAACAAAGAGATAGAGATCAGGCGGTTGAGCTTTATCTTTCGAGAAAAGAGGTCTCATCTCGAAAGCTGGGGGCAACTGTTGGGCCCAAATATGGCCCGCTAGCTGAGACTAATGGGCTCGAGCGATAAGATTTGGCAATGGGCCACTGTAAGCCCATTGGCAATTAATCTTTTGAGAAAAGAGTTAAAAAGAAGCCGGAAGCTGTTTGATAAGGAAGGGACGTCAACAAAACAGGTCACGGAGGAGAGCTCCAGACCTCATTTGCAAAGAGCTAACGGGAGTAGCTCAGGCTGGTTGCGCAGGACCCGGTCAAAAGGAGGCTGTTGAGAATCCCCCAACTCACGGAGCAATTCTCGGAGGCTGGTTAGGATTGTTCAAACGTGGCTGAGAGCTATTTAAGGAGGAGGAGATCAGAGAAAGGGATCCTCTCGGGATTCATTCATTCTACCATTTTTACACACATTATTACTCACAAATCATTCCCATAATTCTTTGTAATCATCAGAATCATCTTATTAATCATCTTTGTAATCATTCTTCGTCAAAAACATTCAATACAATCATAAGTCATTCTCTAAGTTCTAACGGGATTCAGCCCACGTTATCTTTTCCTAATCTAAACCTAACCTAAAATCAGGAAGTGAGTTTTATCCCTCACATATACCTTTTGTATTTCCATTACCCCCACCAAAAATGAGAAACTACACTTGTCATTGACTTAGAAACTAAAATTCACATTGACTTAGTGAACATATGCATCCCAATTCTAAAACTCTAAACTCTATTTTTAATACGTTTGCGATTGTAGATCAAATACATAAAACATAAATATTTATGCAAATATTAATTTGTATGATTTATAAAAATTAATATACAAGGACTTAAATAGAGTTCACGAATCTATTTTTTATAGCGTCTAATTTATTACATCAGTAAGAAGATATAATATAACCTCTTTAAATTAGTACTCTATAAATTAATATACACTAAAAATTTTATAAAATAAAATAATTTTATAGTTCCAAATTGAGTTTTTTGTTCGCTTAATATATCGATAAATTAATAATTTCTATAAATTAATAAAAAAAAAATAGTTTTGTGTAGTCCACTGTAGTCATTATGCAAAAGCATAGAAATTGAAGTTGACAAATCTATTATATTTATGATTTACACTATAAATATTTAAACGTAAAATAACTTCCTAACAAGGTATTTCTGTTATTTCGTGTTATAGGGAGAAATGGTATTTTAGAATTTATTTTAAGAACACAGCAGAAAATAGAGATCGGTTCAAATTTGATAAAAAAAAAAAAAAAAAAGAGAGATTGGTTCAAAATGTCGTTTAAGTAGTGCTTCAGCGCCAACAATCAGTCACACGAAACTATAACTTCCCTCTCTGCCTTCACCTTCCATTCTCTGTATCTTCTTCTTACAATCATCTCCATTGTTTCCAAATTCGCTAATCCAAGAGGTAGTTTCGATTCTCGTCTTCTTTCTATTCATTCCAAAGATTCGACGCCGCTAATCTTTGTGATTCTTGTACAGTATCTCTAACCTCATCAAAGAAACAATGTCGAGTGAGGAGGAAGTCCAGAACGAACTTAAGGACGGACTGCTGAAGGAGACACAAGAAAGAAAGGATCAGCACGACGAGTTCAACGGAGCTTCTTTCACTGAAGGCGTCTTGAAGCTCGCAACAACGATCATCGGTGCTGGTATCATGGCTTTGCCTGCGACGATGAAGATCCTCGGACTTGTTCCCGGAATCGTGATGATCGTTCTCATGGCTTTCTTGACAGACAAGACGATTGAGTTGTTGCTTAGGTTTAGCGGAATCGGGAAAGCGAGATCGTACGGTGGTTTGATGCAAGATTCTTTTGGTACACCTGGAAGGATTGCGTTGCAAGTTGCTGCTCTCTTTACCAACATTGGGGTTTTGATCGTTTACATGATCATCATTGGTACTTGATATATCTTTGATACTAATAATCACAGCTTTGATCTTTGCATTAGTTAACCCTTGTTTCTTGTTTGGATTAAAGGTGATGTGTTGGAGGATATGCTTGATGGATGGCTTGGAAAGAGCTGGTGGGACAAGAGAGCTATTGTTCTTCTCGTTATATCTCTCTGTTTAATTGCTCCATTGACAGCCTTCAAGCGGATTGGTTAGTATAGTATCTATCTCCATCAGTGTGATGCATAACTCTCTTATATGAATCTTAGGATGCAATAGAGAGTGTGAGCGAGTCTTCAAGTTTTGTTGTACAGAGCTTTTGCATCATGACTATGTAGTACAACTCTCTTTGGGATTCCTAATAAGGAAATGTTTTTTTTCATAAGATCTATTGATTATTCGAAAAAGGAAGGTTACTCTATGTCTTCATGTTTTATGTTTACACTATACAGTATATGCTTTTACTGCATGACTATGTAGTACAACTCTCTTTGGTATTCTTAGCTGCAATGTAGAGTGTGAGTATTCATGTTTACACTATGTATCTGATAGATTTATGCTTATCATTGCAGATGCTTTGAGAGTCACATCTGCCATATCACTTGGTCTAGCGGTTGTTTTTCTTGTCTTCACTGCGGGAATCGTCGTAACAAAGTTTTGTTTCAGAGGTGGTTTATGAAGCCAAAACTCTTCCCAAATGTCACTGACTTGTCATCGGTCTGGAAACTCTTCACCGTTGTTCCTGTGCTTGTCAACGCATACATTTGTCACTCTAATGGTACACTTCTTTCTCGACAAGTTTACATCTAAAGGGTTAGACAAGAACTCATGTCTTTTGAATGTTTTCAGTCCACGATATACAGAACGAGCTTGGAGACGCCACCCAGATCAAACCTGTTGTCCGATCAGCTCTTTTCATATCCTCCTCAGTTTACATAATGACAAGCTTGTTCGGATACCTGTTGTTTGGTGATTCTACTCTTGCTGATGTTCTTAAAAACTTTCACCACGATCTTAAAATCCCTTATGGTCCGGTTCTCGGTGGCGCAGTCAGACTCAGCTATGCAGCTCATCTCCTGCTTGTGTACCCTATTATCTTCTATCCTTTGCGGGCTAACATTGACGGTCTCTTGTTCCCTACGGCTCCATCACTTACTACCTCTAATCTGAGGTTTGCCTCCATCACTGCGGGTCTCATTGCTCTAATCTTTGTTGGTGCAAACTTCATTCCAAGCATCTGGGATGCTTTCCAACTCACAGGAGCTACAGCTTCTGTCTGCATCGGTTTCATATTCCCTGCTGCTGTCATCTTAAAGTAAAAGTCCTATTGCTTCATTGCAGATAAAGATATTGGTTTGGTAAACCTGACGGATCATTTTATCTGAGTGTATCTCGTGGGTTTGTTTCATTTCAGGAATCGTCACAACCGTACAACAAAGATGGACAAGACTATAGCCATTTTCGTGATAGTCCTTGCCGTTTTCTCCAATGCAATCGCCTTGTACTGTGACGTTTACGCCTTATTAGTCAAGAAAAAGAGATCCACATTCCCAATGTGAGAAGATTGGTTTTGTTTGCTTCTCTCCTAGTCTACGTGAAACCAAAAAGAGTTATTGGTGGTGACATATGATGTCGTTAGATTGTTCCTTTACTGTAAAAAAAAAACTTAAGAAATGTAAAGATGACCCCTGTGATTTCGATCTAGTCAACTCTAGAACATAATTTTGTTACAGTTGATATAATAAAAATGTTTTACCTTTACTTTCATGAAAACGGTCCATATTTGGCTCTAGAAAAATATCCGAAAGTAAAATATTGTTAATTGATATAATTGTCATTGTAATACAAAAAAAAACAGCAATAAGTGTCTATTAGGAGTAATTGGGACAACTCAAAGCAAAAATTAAAGGGTAGAAGAACAAGAGAAGTGAAGAAAGGGTTGACTTTTAGGAAGTTGACTTATCTCCATCGCTGGAATTAGCCTGAGAATCAGGGAAGCATGGCCTCCACTCAGTCTCGTTGCCAATGTCCATTAATGCTATTCCTTGAACTGTCAATTCTGCTCTGATCTGATCACTTTTTTCAAACTCTTTGTTCTTCCGCGCCATTATCCTCTCTTCTATCTTCTGTGCAATGTCTTCTTCGCTCAATCCTGCTGTTGTTAGTGTTTTCTGTTTCATTTCTTTCAGAATCTCGGCATAGCTCAGGTTTGTGAGCAAACCAAGCACATCAAGAACTTCCCTGGCTGCTTTCTCAATCTCAACGAGCGACACAAGCAGGGACAGTCGCTGTTTCTTCTGCATTTTCTGAATTGGAAAATAAAAGAGAAGTTTGGTATGTAATGATTGTGAATGGTTAAGTGGCACACAAGAAAAGAAGAAGAGTAAAGCAGAAAACCTTGAGCTTGCCGATGGAAGCGTTGATGGATTTCAATGCATCTTGGTAAGCACCCGTGAGTATATGGGCAGTATTCAAATCGTCTAACATCTTTGCTTCAAACTCATTTTTGAGCTTGTTAATAATGTCTTTGGCTTCTGCAGTCTGTTGAGCCTTTCCACCGTCTTCAGCCATTGCTTCTTGATATGGCAAGAGGGCATCATTTAGATCTTGCAATGTCTATAATAAACAAAGATGAGAGAGGTTACTGTCATAAGTGAATATATAAAGCATCACTATGGAAATGCCTAGCTGTACTGCACCTGATAGACGTAATACAAAGCTTCTGACGAACTGTCCAGCTGCGACGCTGAGAAACTCAGAGGAGACCGGTAGTGTGCACTCATCAAGAAGTGCCTCAGAGCCAATGGATGGTAATTTTCTGTCATCTACACAGATTGAAACAATACAAAGATCAAAACCTGTTAACAAACAAAAGACAGATAAAAAACGTACTTCTCTGATTGTTTTGAAGTTTTTCTTTGACTTGGCCATTTTCTCGTTGTTAATAGTGACATGCCCATTATGCAACCAGTAATTGACACCACCATCCTCACATGCGGCACATGTTTGAGCGAGCTCGTTTTCATGGTGGGGGAATTTCAGATCTGCACCACCACCATGAATGTCAAATCTGGAAGACAGATAATGGGCACTCATGGCACTGCACTCGATGTGCCATCCAGGTCTTCCTGGACCCCATGGGCTCTCCCAACTTGGCTCATCAGGTTTTGCAGCCTGTAACAACAGAATGTTCAAACCACACTTCAACATGAACTCCAAGCCTCTCAATTTAATTGATTCAAGTAAGTTACAAAGATTTCGATTTCTCAAACCTTCCATAGTGCAAAATCAGCAGGGTTGCGTTTTCTAGAATCAACAGCAACTCGCTCACCAGCTCGCGTATGTTCGAGCAGCTGACCCGATAACTTACCATAGTTGAGTGATTTTTCGACAGAAAAGAACACATCGCCTTCCACAACATACCCACAATCTTTCTCAAGGATCTGTAACAGGAAACCATAGGAAATATATGTGATAACTCCAACTCCATAAGTTGTATTATCTCATTCAAAGAAGGCCTCTTTTATCAACCAAAAAAACATACCAGCTCAATCATCTTTATGATGTGATCCATATGGTCGCTGACACGAGGCTGGTGGGTGGGAAGGAGGCACTGAAGAGCACCCATATCCACCAAATACTCCTCGCAAAAGCGATTACTCAACTCTAACGGGTTCTCTCCACTCTCTTTAGCACGTGTGATTATCTACAGAGATTCCATTTAATTGCAATAAGATTTATAATGACAAAAGAAAGATCAAATACCTTGTTATCAACATCTGTGAAATTCCTGACGAAATTAACTTCATACCCCAAATGCTTCAAGTATCTGCATAACCCAGTAGAGATCTAATGAACTCCAAAGCAAAAGCGAAAAAGAAAAAAAAAAAAAAAAAAACACTATTTGATCTAAGGTTAAGAAGAGACCTGTAGAGAACGTCGAAGGAGACTGCGGCGCGAGCATGGCCGATGTGGCTGAAATCGTAAGCTGTGATACCACAGACGTACAATCCGACCTTTCCGGGAGTGATCGGATTAAAATCTTCCTTCTGCTGCGTCATAGTGTTGTAGAGCTTCAGCTTCATCTTCATCTTCTCTGCATCCATGTCTCCTCTCACAATCGCCGCCACAACGTTTCCACGGCCAAGGAAGGTAACGAATGTTTTAAAACCCCTTTTCTTCCTCTGCGCTGTTACTTTATTTTCAACAGTTACCGTCATTATTATTTTTACTATAAAGTGAATTAATCTATAGTATTAAAGTGAAGTACAGAAATAAATTATTTGGAAATATGAATAAGAAAGTTTTAAAAAGTTTGATTGGAAACATGGATAGTAGACAAACCTAATGAACTTATTTATTAAACTAAAGATTACTGCAGTCCAAAATACTATTATTATTGTTTTTGGATTTTATGTCATTGATATTACTTTATTTTTGAAAATTATTTATACATATATGTATTCATGTTTTAAATGTATTTAGAATAAATTAAAAATAATATATATTTTATATATAGTTTATATTTATTATTGTTATAAGTTTTTAACAATGACATAGTAGCTTTCCAATTCTTCCTTAAAAAACTAATCTAGAAATTTGACTAAATTGTTTAGTGTATATAACTTTGCACCAAATTTAACCAAAAAAAACTTTATAAATTATTACTAAAATGTTTAGAGGGTAACAACATTTTATGACGCCCCTGTTACACAATGATGAAATACAATGTTTAAATAATATACTATTACTTAGTAAAATTGGAACCATAAGATTGTAATTTTTGAAATGTTTATATATACCATAAAAACAAAGACCCGTCCAGTCGGGCGGGCTATGATCTACTACCAATTAAAACAGGATCGGTCTAATAAAAATACTCTTAATGATATGAATAAAATTTTATTTTCATTAATGGTAATGTTGTCTTTTGGTTTTTGAACCTACAAAACTATACCAATTAAAACAAGATCAGTTTAGGTTCATGATTAAGTTATGTCGCTTCCAAATTCCATTTCAAAAATTAGTTCCTACAAAGTTATTAGGTTCCTGATCGACATAACTTCAGTTTTTTAGGAACTAATAATTTTCTTACTAGTTATGAAATAATTAATGGTAATTATTTGATGAATGGTTTTTAAAGAAATTGACAGGAACCTACAAAACTAATTCATTAAGAGTATACTAATAACTACCTAACCTCATAAACTTCAGTTTTCAAACATGAAAGTGCTAATAACACTAATGGTCGATCAAATAATTACGAAGATAAACTATGAAAATATCAATACATATGAATTAGTTGGTCCTTCTTATATCAATCTAATTAAGTTATGTCGCTTCCAAATTTCATTCATCACCATCATACACAACATGAAAAAATAAATTAAAAAATAAACAACAAAATTTCATGCGCAAAACAACACAACACATTAACACTATATACGGTTCGTGTTTGCGCGGGGGCTGTAACGCCGGTATTATTAATATGATAACGAAAAGTGTTAGTGTGATATTTCAAAATTATTTAGTTATTAAAGAAATTTTCCCTTAAGCAAGATTTGTTGGAGTTGGTAAATAATTTTCTTACTAGTGGGACGTTGGTTCCAAGGTTAAATTTTACATATATATGTTTGATACCTAAAATAGAGAGACCTACAAGGATGACAGAACTGCGACCGATAAGTCTATACAATGTGGGAAACAAAATTATCTCTAAGGTATTATGTCAAAGATTGAAGACATGTCTACCAGCTCTAATTTTGGAGACTCAGTCGAATTTTGTGGCAAGGCAATTAATATCAAAATACATTCTCATCGCTCAGAGAATGTTTTATGGTTTAAAGACAAACAAATCATGTCAAGCTAAGTTTATGGCAATAAAGACAGATATGAGGAAAGCTTCTGATAGGGTGGAAGGGGGTTTTATTCAGACTTTACTTCAGAGGGTGGGATTTGATCCTAAGTGGATTCAGCTAATGATGGAATGCATATCCTTGGTGCAATATCGGGTTCTGTTAAACGATCATCCGCGGGGGCATATTATTCCACAGAGAGGTTTGCAACAAGGGGATCCTCTTTCCCCTTACTTATTCATCATGTGTACGGAGGCTTTGATCGCAAATATCAAGAAAGCTGAAAGAGGCAAACAGCTTACGTGGATAAAGGTTGCAAGGGCTTGTCCGGCAGTCTCTCATCTGCTTTTTGAAGATGATAGTTTATTTTCTTGAAAGGCACGAAAAGAAGAATGTCAAACCATAATTAAGAACCTAAAGGAGTATGAGGCAGTGTCAGACCAGTTGATTAACTTTCAAAATTCTTTGATCCAGTTCGAACATAAGATTGAGGAATCAAATCGACATGAGCTACGAGACATTTTATCAATCCAAAATGTAGGAAGGATGGGATCATTCCTGGGTATACCAGAGAGTTTATTTGTTTTGTTCAGGATTGATTGAGTAGTAGAGTAAATGGATGGACTTTCATTTTTTTTTTTAAGAAAGGGGGGAAAGAAGTGATTATTAAGTCGGTGGTTATAGTGCTACCAAATCATGTTATG